CATGTCTTATTCCAACCTAAGAGTTTCACGGATGCTAGACGATATCCTTATTGACAACAATCATAACAATAATGTATAACAATAACTAACAACCTCAAAAAATACAAAGTATTCCACGGTTAAGAAGTTAGAAATGATGTACTCCCTATATCTCCATATAATTCTAGTTTAATTTAATATATTTTGTGCGATAATAAAACAGTCAAAGTATGTATAAACTATATTTTGTGACAAGGGGGTATAAGTCTAGCATTGACATTTATTACTTTATCTAAAAGTTATAAGTTTCAAGCATAGAATCTTTCCCCATCAGTATGGCCAATATGGATGTCAAAATAATCCTTGTATCGAAATGACTTATAGAGTGGACCACAATCTTCTGCTTCTACAAGAACTTTAGCTTGCTCAATAATACACTCCATTGATGGACTAACAAAGAACACTGCAGTTGTTCGTGCGTCAGTCGAGTTTGTCACAACTCGATGCGCCACCCCTTTCATTTTCCCATTGCTAACAGCCTGCCTCAAGGTGCACTTCATTTAATAATCTTTTATGCAATGTATGTACTTATAAATTTAAAACTCTTACAAGGTGTTTGATACGAAGAATATAATACAGATATGTGAAACTTAGGTACGTAGATATATTGTACTAGTTGATATGTAGAACAATGTAATAATTATATCATTTAGAACAACATTTATTGCCTCAAGTTGATTGCCCACAGAGACTAGAAATGCATTAGGAGCCGGCTCAAAACCAAACCATTGACCATCCTTAAAAGAGTTGTAACCCCGGAACATCGGCGGGTGCATGAACTATATTTATAAGGGTCGGATCTTTGTTCTTGGTTAGTCCCATGGTCAAACTTGGATCAAGGCATTTTGGGTAGTGATTTATAGTTAAGATGTTGTCTTCAGTTGGTTCATTTGCAAAATAAACTTTTTCTAACCCAAGCCCTTGGGATATATGCTCTAAGATCTTCATTCCCATGCCCTTCAAGGCAACAACATATGCTCCGACTATCTCCTTGAAAATTTAAGCATGAGCACAATGTAAAAAACGACTGTTAACTTAAAGTTGTACATACTAGGTTGAAATGACTACCGTATTTAATGGGTAGATTTTATCATTTTAGTGTTGAGATCTATGTAATCGCACTTTTAAAAGAAGCCAACAAGTCTAATTTCATTTGAGCCGTTGAGCGTATACGTTAATTACATGAATGGTGTGACCATTAGCCAACATGTCAATATATGTCACGTCTCAATTCATGAATATATATTTATTACGTGTTAAGATTTACCTTTAGTGAGTATTTGAATGATTACCTATAATTTTTGGGATTTTGAGGCCAATATTTGATGCATTCCTCCTAAGGGTTACAATTGTGCCTCAAAACATCCCTCCAAAAGTGAACCTCCTCGGTATTATAGTTGAAGCTGCTCGAATAAATTTTGCAGATATTTTTTAAATCCTCTTTCATGTTTATTTTCGATCTTTCTTCTGGAGGTAAATCAAATACTTCCTTGAACACTTTCATTGCATCATTCATTAACTCGATAGAAATTCCATGATTTATCACCTATTTTGAGAGAAGAAAAGTAAATAAATTATCCTAAGTATCAAATTATTAATAAAAAAAATAACAATAACAATAACATACATGGTGATGTAGCTATTTTTACAATTGTTACAATATATATGTCATGATGTATGCACCTGAAATAATCCCAAATCTTGGCTAGCCTTCATAATGTGCTGGATTGAATTCTTTTCGTCATGAAGATCAATTATTGGAATTTCTATTTTGCCCGCGGTATGACCTGAAAATAATATAGAAAAATTTTCAACTATAAGTTCATGCATGTCTTAATAAGGTTATGTTTAATTCACCTACCTTATTACTTTTTGTCAAAAAAGTACCTTATTACTTACTCCTATTTTTTCTTTTTCTTTTTCTTTCTTTTTTTCCCTTTTTTTTTAAATGCCCCATGTTGACTTTTTATACTATTCACATAATCTACTTTGATTAATGTTAGTGATTTGCATTAATTAAAAATATATATATATATAATCATGTGGATACTTGATGAAATCGTCTAAATATATATTTTCCAAACATCAAATTTTTATAATTTATACTTATTGATGATTAAAGATATCATTGGTCAAAAATTTGCATTGGTATATATGTCCAGTCAAAGTCCGACACTTAAATAAAATAGATGGAGTATTTCTTATCAGATAAAGAAAATAAGTTTATAGGTTCAAGTCATACTTATTGATTTATATGTTTATCATTAAATATCTTTAATTAATTTCATAATGAAAAATAATTATAAAATTAGATATTTGTAAAATACACATTAATACAAATCTAATAAGACCCAATGTGATACATTTTTTCCCATGTATTACCGCACATAAAAGGTCAAATCAAACAATCGGATCAATTAAAAAAATAAAAATAAAGTAAACTAAATATAGCCTAAATTAATTCCAACCAAAAAACAAAGAAGTTGACATATATATTCCCTTCGTTTTTTAAGTGGATCTTTCTTACATAAGGCGTTTTTTTAGTGCATAATCACTTTTTGTTGGACATCTTCTTTTATGTCTTACCATAACTCTATTCTCACATGATCACTTTTTTTTTATTTTATTTTTTTAATTTAAATTATTCGGTTTCTTATCTTTCGCACGTCCTTATTTTTTAACAAATTACCCCATTATTGTTTCTTCTCTATAATTTTTAATTTCTCGATAAACTCCACATACCCAATATTTTATTTTATTAGGGTGGCTAAAGCGAGCGTCATAGTTAATTATGTCCGGATAGCTCTTTTGGTTTGACATTATGTCACAACTTTAGTTGCTTGCAACATTAGTAGGGGAAAATATGTAAACACATATTTTAGGGGATCGGAATAAATGAATGTACTTATTTTTAAGAGTTTTTTAGAAAAGACAATTAACATTAATGAAGGCACATAAGTAAATAAACATTTTAGAGGTATAACTGTCCAAACACTATTCATAAGAGTTATCTCATACTTTTTAAAAGGTAGGGATTCAACCCACCTATCTAAAATTATTTGTCGAACAAACCGATGCACTTATGAAAGAAGACAAAATTGCAGTGTACATATTAGGAGTGTATTTTATTCAACTCATTTTATTTTATTTGAAACTTAATTTCATTTTGTCTGAACTTGTGAGGCATGATTTTGCACTTTTTTTTTTTTGGGTACGGATTGAAATTAAATTTTACTAGTTAAAAATTATTTTTAATGTTTTTTAATTATATTTTGTTCTTTGTTTTTGTATTGATTTTACTTAAACTTATTTAAACTAAATTTACCAATTGAGGGATAGAGATAAGGAGGAGGCCAAGGTGGAAAGGGGGATAAAGAAGCATATTAATCCCTCCAAAATAATACCAAGAGGGTGTAGGAGGGAAGGGGATATAATTAAATGAGTATAAGATATTTCTACCTTTGATGAAAATGAAGGAAGAGTAGAGTGTAGAAAGGCAAGTAAGGGTCATTATGTATTTTTATTAGCTATCCAATCAAATGCCTAACCCATATCAAAAAATTGGAGTGTATATAATATATATATATATATATATGTTTGGCCCAATTCATCTAATTTAATTGGGCCAAAGTCCAAATAATTCAACTCAAGCCCAATGTAAGGTTCAACTCTCCAAAAGCATACTAAGGTCAATAAAAGCCCGGTCAACGTAGTCAACCCACCTGACTTCAAGGGCCCAGTTCTCCACAATTGAGTCAAGGTATAAAAAACCATCAATTACATCATTTTACATTCATGTAACAAAAGCCTCAAGCACTAAATCTCTTGCATATCATTATCTCTCAACTGAACTGACTTTAGCATCGGAGGGACCTTCCTCGGCAACCATCCCCGAGGCTAGTTTACGTGTTCTTTGCTGTGCAGGATATCCTCGGCTCTAGTGTTCTTTGGACCGAGACCAGTCTTCTCCACCTCAAAAGGGCCCTCTGAAGGTCCCATTGTTTTCATACCGAAACAATTTGGCGCCGTCTATGGGAAGATACAAAAATCAAGCCAAAAATTAATCACTCCTAGTGAAAAACATGACTAAGAGTGGCAAAAGCACCAAAAGTGCTAGAAAGAAGGGCGATTTTACCCCCTTAAGGAAGGACAGAGATATGATCACGGTGAGGGAAAATCAGCCAATTTTGCCGTCACCGGAGCCATCTTCTCCTTCCTCGAGAGCTCCCAATTCTCAGGAAAGGGAGGCTTCAAGGGACTCTTACTCGCACCACACTCGACAGCCAACAGTTTCACCTAGGTCAAGTGGATCTAATGCGAGGAGTCCTCCACCGAACAGCCTGCATTCTCGGTCCCAGCCGAAAGAAACCCCTCTGCCGAGGCCCTCTACGGAGCAAGTGGCTAGGGGCGTGGCGGTCTGCATGGAATTCCTTAAGGCCCAAGGGGGTCAACTCCCACCAACGCCCCCTGAGTCTTCATCTCTTCAACCAAGACACCTGAGAAGGAGAATCGGTTAAGAGAAGGATGGTTCCATCCTACAAGGAGCTTGGGAACAAATGGCAGGAGGACACATGGAACATCGATAAGGAAAAAAAGAAGAACCCTCACTTCTTTTAGCACTCCGAAACTCAGGACTCGATGAGTTTTCGGAGCAGCAATACTACCTCAACATACAAGGAGTCGGCTCGCCGAAGTGTTCATGAACGCTTAGGCTCAAGGGAGGTGGACATGCATAGCCGCCTCACCTTCCTAGGAAAGACCGGGTCATACCCTGAATTGTCTCGGCCAGGGACGAGGTCCCTTCGGCCAAGCAAAAGGGAAAGGCCGTAGTGGTCCCTACAAGCTCGCCCTTCCAAAGTTGGATATTGGAAGAGCATGTGCCGATAGTGAAAATACCGGCGCACATTACTTACGATGGTACCTCAAACCCAAATGATCACATTGCCTATTACGAGGGGAACATGTATCTCAACTCCAGGTCCGAGGCTACCTGGTGCAAGTATTTTCCAACAACCCTCAAAGGTGTTGCACAGTCATGGATCACCAAGGGGGTGAAAGAAGGCTCTATAGCTGGTTGGAAAGACCTTTCCAACAAATTCAAGAGCAAGTTTTCTACGGCTAACCGCCGAGAAAAGATAACTGCAGAACTGATGAGTCTGCAGCAAGCCGAGGATGAAAGCCTCCGCGATTATCTGACTCGCTTCAGCAACGAGTCGTCCAGAATTACAAGTTTGGACCAAGGTCTTGCCGTATTTTCACTACGGAATAGTCTGCAAGCTGGAAAGTTCCTGGACTTCATGGTCATGCATCCCCCGCAGACCTTGGAGGAAGCTTTGGATGCCTCGGATAAATTTATCCGAGCCGAAGAATGGAACAAGACGAAGTCTCAGTCCTAGTCAAGGGCTAGGAAAGCTAAAGGACAACTGTCCGAGGGCCCAGTATTGAGGAAAGGGAAGGTTAAGGCCTCAAAACCATCCTCGGCTGACGAGCCGAAGAAAGAAAGGATCGCCCCCTATGTGGGGAGATACGATTCTTGTACTCCCCTTACTCTTGCTCGTGCTAAAATTTACAGCACGACAAAAGACGAGGGGAGATTCAAGAAGCCTCGGCTGCTGCCACCATGGCATCAGCAAAAGGGCAAGGACCAATGGTGCGAGTTCCACAAATCTCCTAGACATTGCACCGAGGACTGCCTCCAGTTGAAGGACCAGATCGAAAATCTGGTTCGAAAAGGCTATCTGAAGAAATACCTCGCGGATCGCCGCGAGGAGAAAAAAGCCGAGAAAGACTCTCGGCAAGATCTGGATTTTCTCCGGAAAAAAGACAATCAGCAAGACAAGGACACCCTTGATATTCTTGCCATTTCCGGGGGAACTTCTCGACCGCATTAAAACGCCACTTGAGGGGTCTGACCCACCAAGTAAATCATGCCGAGCTCCGAGCGCCTCAATCTCCGGTGCCGAACATTCTATCCATAGCCGAAGACTGTGAGGGGTGGTTTACCCTCATGATGACCCATTGGTGATAGTAATGGGCATTGCAAACCGCAACGTCTGGTGAATCCTCATCGACGACAACAGTGGGGCGAATATCCTCTTTTGGGGAGCATTCGACCAGCTGAAGTTGGAGGCCAAGCACTTAACTCCGGTACCCTACTCGGTATCCGGATTCAATGGTTGTTCATCATATCCAGATGGGAAGGTCCTTCTTCCTGTCACCATTGGCAAAGGCCGAGCAGTGCGAAGCATCATGGCTGAATTCTTGATCGTGGATGCCCCCTCTGTGTACAACGTGATGAATAACATTCAAAGAGTTGTCTCGACGTACCATCAAACGATGATATATGTCTCGGACGAGGGACACTCCGAAAAAATAAAGGGCAGCCAAAAGGAAGCCCGAAGATGTAACCACCTCAAGCCATCCAAGGGTCGCCGCGATGACCAGGATGATAAGGAGGAAAAAGAGCGGGACCGTTGCGCGAAAAAGCCTAAAGGCTTTAGTGTTTCGGCCCAAGGAACCCCAGCAAAAGAAAAATCTTTGGGGGATGAAAGGGCTAGTTCTTCGTCCGAGCCGAAAGACTCAGAAAATCAGCTAGCGTCTGGGAAGCCTGCTGATATTGACAGCAGGCTTGAATCCGAAGAGTCCAATGCCAAAGCTATGGAACTGGATAACTAGACAGAGTCAATAGAGTTGGCCGAAGGAAATTCTGAAAGGTGTGTCAGCATCGGATTGGGACTTGAACCAAACGTCCGTGCTGAGCTGATTCAACTCATTCGAGGCAACAAAGATGTGTTCGCATTCTCGGCAGAAGAAATGCCCGGGATTGATCCGAACCTCATCTCTCATAAGCTTAATGTCGACCCGGCATGTCGGCCTGTCAAGCAGAAAAAGCAGAACTACTCCACCTAGAAGAACCAAGACATTGCAGCCGGAGTAAAAAAACTCTTGGAGGCAGGGTTCATCGAACCTTGTCAATATCCGGAATGGCTGCCTAATGTGGTGATGGTTCAGAAGGAAAATGGCACCTGGAGAATGTGCGTTGACTTCACGGATCTAAATAAGGCATGTCTGAAAGACTTCTATACCTTGCCGAGGATCGATCAGCTAGTCGACTCGACAAGTGGTCATGCCCTGCTTAGCTTCATGGATGCATTTTCTGGGTACCACCAGATGTTCATGCACCCCGGTGACCGAGCAAAAACGGCATTCGTCACAAGTTCCGGGGTGTACAATTACAAAATGATGCCCTTCGGATTGAAAAATGCAGGGGCAACATATCAAAGGTTGGTTGATCAGGTATTCGCCGAGCAAAAAGGCCGTAATATGGAAGTCTATCGTCAAAAGCAAGGAAGAAAAGGACCATGTTACAGACCTGGCCGAAACCTTCGCCACCCTTCACAAACATCAAATGAAGCTGAACCCGAAGAAGTGTGTCTTCGGCGTGAAGTCAAGCAAGTTCTCGGCTTCATGGTTAGTAAAAGGGGGATTGATGCCAATCCTCCCAAAGTACAAGCAGCTCTTGATATCCCCGAGCCAAAGACAAAGAGGGATGTTCAACGCCTAACTGGCAGAATGGCCGCCTTGTCCAAAATTATCTCTAAAGCCTTGGACAAAGGGCTACCTTTATTCAAAGCGCTCAAACTACTAAAATCAAAAGAGCTCATTTGGGGAGACGAGCAAAAGCAAGCCTTTCAGCAACTCAGTGAGTACTTGGCTCAACTCCCAACACTGGCAAGACCAGAAGAATGAGAAACTCTATACTTATATGTGGCGGTTAGTCCAGCCACAGTAAGTGCGGTGCTGCTAAGAGAAGAAGAGAAAGTTCAGCAGTCGATCTATTTTGTCATCCACACTCTGACAAATGCCGAGACACACTACCCCCTACTAAAAAAAGTTGCTTACACAGTAGTGGTGGCCGCTCGGAAGTTAAGGCCTTACTTTGATTCCCATCAAATAGTGGTCCTAAATGACCAGCCGCTGGAAAAATCCTCGGCAAGGTGGAAAAATCTGGTAAACTAATGAAGTGGGCTTTCAAGCTCACCGAGTTCAGTATCAATTATCAGCCGAGGGCAACTATCAAGGCGCAAGCCTTAGCAGATTTCCTAGCTGAGTGTTCTTATCAAGAGACGCTTGAGAAAGGAAATAAGGTTTGAACCGTTTTCACGGATGGATCTTCTACCGTAAATGGTTCAGGAGCAGGGGTCTTCATAGCCTCTCCCAAAGGTAAATCCTTTAAATATGCATTAAAATTCTCTTTCAAAGCTTCGAACAACGAAGCCGAATATGAAGCAGCGATTACTGGCTTAGAGTTGTGCATAGCATTGGAGGCCGAGCACGTCTGTTTAAAGACAAACTCTCAGCTCATCGCAAACCAGATCCGAGGTGAATATGAGCCCAAGGAGCTCTCAGCTTACCTTGCGAAGATCAAGACTGTTATTGTGAAGCTCAGAACTTTTGAAATTGAGCTGATCCCAAAGGGTCAAAACGCACAAGCCGATGCACTCTCCAAACTTGCAAGTTAACTTTAACGGAGTTGAATAGATCCGTATATGTGGAGGTGCGCCGAAAAAGAAGTGTGGACGAAGCAATTGACATATGCTGCGTTGCACATGAACAGAGCTGGATGGATCCCATCCTGGCTTACAAGCTTCGAGAGAACTTCCCGAAGACCAAAAGTTAGCCTCTAAGATAAAAAGAATCAGCTCAAGATTCATTGTCTTTGGAGGGAAACTTCTGAAAAAGTCCTTTTCAGCCCCACTATTGAAATGCGTGGGTCCAACATATGTAAATTACGTCCTTCGGGAAATTCATCTCGGCATCTGCGGAAACCACATAGGGGGAAGAACCTTAGCTCATAAAGAACTAAGGAATGGGTACTATTGGCTAACCATGATCACATATGCAAAGGATCTGGTCTGAAAATGTGAGAAATGCTAAAAATTCGCACCAGTTATCCATCGGCCATCCCGAGATCTTCAGCCAATCCTGAATCCTCTTCCATTTGCTCAATGGGGATTGGATATATTGGGACCATTTCCTGATGCTCCTTATCAAAATAGATGGTTGATAGTCGGCATAGACTACTTCAGCAAATGGATTGAAGCCGAGGCTGCTTCGAACATTACCGAGCAAACTATCAGGAAATTTATATGGCAAAACATCATCACTCGTTTCGGAATTCCGAAAGTTTTTGTATTTGATCATGGAAGGCAATTTGATAATCTGCCGCTGAAGCGATACATAGATCAGTTCGGCAATAAACTGGCATATTCTGCAGTTTGTCATCCGCAGAGCAATGGTTAGGCCAAAGTGGCAAACAAGCAAATCCTCAACGCTCTCAAGAAGAGAGTTGAAGACCAAAAGTCCAAGTGGATAGAGGAGCTTCCCGAAACTCTCTGGTCACTTCGGACAACAGAAAAAGAGGCAACGGGGCATTCACCTTTTGAGTTGGTGTATGGATCCGAAGTTGTGCTTCCAGTAGAAATCAGCTTAGAAAGTTTGCATACAAGCAGAGAATCAACAAGTTTTACAACCGAAAAGTCCATGAAAGGCTCCTCAAAGTTGGGGACCTGGTTCTTCGAAATACTACTGCTGTGCAAAAAGGCCGCATTCATGGTAAACTCTCAGCAACTTGGGAAGGTCCCTATGAAATATATAATGAGCTTCAGCCAGACACATACCGGCTTCGGCAATTGGATGGTACTGAGCTGAAAAACCATTGGAATGCAGATGTACTAAAAAATTACCATGTGTAAAGCCCCTTGGGGAAGAAATATCTATGTAAGTGCATCTTTATTATTAATGAAAGGCCTTTGAGCCACCATTTGTTCAAAATTTAGCAAGTTTCTATTTTTTTAGTCTTCTATGATTTTTAAAAAAAAATAAGGTTTTTTGTTCTGCGCTGACCGAGGTACTGCATAATGATGCATCGTACTTCGGCATGTCGTAAAACCTGCCAAGACGAGGATAAAAGATAAAAACCCGAAGTATTACATAGTGATGCCTTTTACTTCGGATGAATCCGTTCCTTTGGGCAAAGAGGCCATAGACGCATCCGAGGCATAGCCTAAAAAATAGGAATTGATAAAGCCTCGAAGTATTGCATAGTGATGCCTCGTACTTTGGATGAATCAGTTCCAGGTGGTAATTGCATTTCCAAAGTATTGCCTAATGAAGCATTATACTTCGGGTAGATCGCTGCCCCGGCATCATGTTTTGAATAGTCGTTCCCTCGGATGAATTAAAAAGGTCACAAGAGTATTACTCTCAGAGTCTATGGCTCTTGAGCAAGAAATCAGAGCTTTTGAAAACAAAAATAGAAGAGAAAAGAAAAATGAGCAGAAATTCCGAAGCTGGAATATTGCAAAAATTTCACCAAGGCAAAACCCTCGGCTGCGCCGGGGAAGTCAAAGTAATTATCCCAAAATCCTGAAGACACCATCTCCAGATTTTTGGGGGGGCAAGAGGCACTCATTTGGTAAGTTCCTAGCCGAAGGTTAGTACTTGGAAAAAAATTTCACAAGTTGAAGCATCTAAGTAGAAAGAGTGAGGTAAAAGGAATGCAAGCAGAGACAGTGCACTCCCAAATAAAGACGTTCTCAGCCAAATATATCTCCAAGCCGAAGTTCTACAATTACAGAAATTTTGAAGAAAATTCAAGAAAAGCAACTAAAAACAGAAATAAACAGGTAGTAGGAGAAGAAAGCTGAGAAACATCTCAGTTTCATAAAATGAGGATTTCAGATTTCAAGAACAAACATAAATTCTAGAATCGAAAGCCGCCCACAAGCGGAAAACACAGTTGCCGAAGAATGTACTTAAACAAAAACAAGTAGTTTGTACTAAGCAAGGTCAGCTGAAGCAAAAGAATAAGGCAAAAAGCAGTTGCGACATTAAGTCAATTAAGAGCATGTAGATCCACAAGATTCTGCAAACGACTACCCGAGTCCCTATGCTTTGGCATTGGTTGGATCAAAGGTGGGAGCTTTCAGGGTCTCGGCAGCAGAAGACGAGGCAGGGTGAACAGTGTCATTCTCTTTAGCCGCATCCCCTTCCTCGACTTCATCTTCCTCGTCTTCAGTTGCGGCGAGACGAGCAAGGTAGGCATCTTCAGCTGGATGAGCGACTCGCATTTTCGGATGGTTGGGGATCGCTCCCTATTCCTCGACTTGGTCCCAATTAATTTCTGGATAGGCATGGAAAGCCAGGCGCCGAGCAACGTTTAACCCATTGTCAAAACCTTCCTCATATTGTGCTCGGGTTTAGATGTGGACCTTCAGCAAATCATAGGCAGCCGAGAGATCTGCCTTAGCCTTTTTGGCCTCATCTTTGGCCTTTGCAGTTTCCTCTATCTGCGCCGCCAGCTGATCCTTTAATTCCTGCCAACCAGAATTCAAGGCAGACAGGTCAGAATCTTTCGCATCTAGATGGTTGACAAGCCGCTGAGTCTCAACCTCTTGATTGGTCTGCTCCATCTTAAAATCCTCGGCCAGAGCTTGCCGAGTTTCTACCTCTCTTTTCTTCTCCTCCTCAATCCGAGCTTTGAAACTCGGAATGTCAATAGCACCGTACTCCTGAATCAGGGCATGGGCCTCTTCAATCCAGGGGAAAACGGTCCACTCAATCCCTTGGCAGAAGTCTCGGAGCTGAGCATCCACTTCCTTCAACCGAGGCAGGCTAGCAGAAGATTCCTCTTCTGCCTTCTTACATTTCAGCTCATATAGCCGAGCTCGATTCTCAGCTTTCTCTGCTTTATGCCTTAGCTCTTCATTCAAGCCAACCGCTAATACATTGTTATAAACAACCTGTCAAGTTGGAAAATGCATTAGCCGAGGAAAAAGAGATGTAAAAAAAAAAAAAAAAAAGAGAAAAGAGGAAAGTAAGTTTAATGCGAAGGGTTGGTACTTAAGACAAGTGTTTAAGTATACGTTACCTACATCAGCAGTTTCTTGTTCTCAGCAAAAGGGTCTGGCACCCTCACCAAAGGTTGGGTCACCCCTGCAGCAGCGCGAATGGACTACCTCTCAGCTTTCTCTAGCTTAGAAATGCTGGACAGATCACCAAAGATCTCAATGGCTGAGTCTCGGTGAGAATGCAAGTTGTCCCTAACAGCTTCAGGGACTACTACCATTGGGGTAGCCTCAAACCCAATTTCTGCAGACTAAAAGGTCTTGAAAGAGTGCCCAGCAAATGATGGAACATCAGACGCTTTGGGGCCCTCAATTCTTTCGTCAGCCTCTTTGAAATCGTCAGGTCTCCCCGATAAAATTTGCACATCATCATCCTCAGAGGGTTTCACAATGAAGGCGTCAACCTTTCTCTGGACTTCAGCTGTGAAATCCTCAGTCGTATGCCGAGGAGACACTGATAGGACAGGGGGAGTCCTCTGTTGCACTTCTTCCTCCTGATGCTCGGGAAGAGGAGGAGTCTTCTCCTTATCCACCTCAGCCTAGGTCTCGGCCAGTCAAGGTCTCTTATTTGCAGGCTCGGAATCCGGAAATTCTCCCGGATCCACAATAGCTCTCCTCAACCTTCTCCTCCCAGGACCTGCCATCTCTTTTTTCTGAAGAGTCTTCTGAAGAAGAGAGGGAGTCCTTCTCGTTTTCCTCTTCTTCGTCAGACTGCAGTAGAAAAAATGAGGGGGGGGGGGGGGGTAAGGGGTGATATCAGTATCATCAATACCAAAAAAAAAAAAAAACAAACAAACTCTCTCAAAGCCGAGATTTGATACTTGGACAATTTTCACAAAAAGGAAAGCCTAAGCAGAGGGAGTGAAGCAACTAAGGAGCAAAAAAAAAACAACGACAAAAGAAGGAGAGAAGCCTATAAGCCGAAGCTTAATACTTAGGAAAATTTCACAAGGTGAAAGGTCTGGGTAGGCAGAATCAGTCAGCCGAATCTTAGTACTTAGAAAAGTTTTCAGAATCATTTCACAGATTGAAGGTTCAAATGAAATTCTAAGTCAAAGCAGAAAAGTTCAAAAGCATTTTAAAAGCTTATCGAACTCCTTAGTAGCTCTTCGTCTGAAGCAATGAGCACGTTCGGCCCAGCAACAGGGGTTGATGGCTCAGTGTTCTGGTCGGAGTAGACAGCAAAAACTCCGGCCTTGACAACAGCTGCAGCGGCGACAATCTGCTCTTCGGGACCCAACAGAAAGAAGGGGTCCCTCTTCCAATACCACGACTTCTGAACAAAATATTCGGCTGGTTTAACGATTTCCAGCTGAGAAGGGCGCAGCGCAGGAGCCCTGGCAGATGGGGGAGTGATGGCAGGGGCGCGTCTCGTCACTTTCCGAGCTGCGTTAATCCCAAACCGGTTACATTCCAAGCCGTAATTTCCTTCATGCAGCACTGAAAAACCATAAAGAAAGCAAAGGGTTATTCTGCATGAATAAATAAAGCTTTAACAAAAGGAAAATAAGCTAAGTAAAGACTTTCGGCCGCAGCCGAGGTTCTCACCATCTTGAAACTTTCGGCTGAGGCCGACAGCAACCAGTATCTTCTCTTTGAAGATATAGTGGTAGCAAGGGAGCCAGGTCTCTGGCACATAGATTGTTCGGCCATCACCCCTTGCATTTGGCTCTTTCTTGAAGAGTTTCAGCAACTCCTCTTCCTCGGCAGAAAATTCATCGAGGCTGAGGATGCTCATTTTCGGATTAGGCATTCTCAAATGCCTCGACCCTCCATAATAGTTTGGATGGTCCTCCTTGGCAGGAGCCCGAACCCAAATCCATTGACCTCTCCAGTCCTTGTTCGAAGTATCGTTCGGCCAAGTGGTCAAATACCCCCTCCAGGTCTTTATCCTCAACTACCCAGGTCCATGGTGCTCATTGGACTGCTGGTTCAGCACCAATTTTTGCAACTTTCTGAAGACATGGATGCTCGGCTGAAATCCATAGAAGAGACCGACCTATAAAAATGTCATGACTCTTCGGATGTTGACCGGGGTTAATTGGCATACAGAAATATTGTACCCGTTCAGCACCTGGACTATGAAGGGGTGGAGAGGAAATCTAAGGCCGAATTGCAGCTGCCTGGTGTACACGCCGAGGTAACCAGGTGGAGGCCTATGAATTCTATCTTCAGCTACGGGCATTTGACACCAATACTCGTTTTCCTCCATTATGCTGTAGAAAATTCCTATTTGTTCGGCGAACTGATGGAGAGCATCCCCTTTGACCCACCAGTCATAGTGGGCAACATTCATTAACCCGCAATTATCGGGAGAATTTTGCCATTCCTCAGCGCCTTCAGGCAAACGCCGAGGCCCATGCCTAGAGCCACCGGCTGAGGTTGTGGCCTCTT